CGCCCAGGGATGGACTTGGCTGTCAGAGGTGTCCAACGCTACCCAGCCAGCTGTTCAGACCGCTGTACCAACATCCCTGGTGGGAATGTGAACCGACACACTCCTTCTAAAGGGAAATTCGGCAATGCCTAACAAAATCACACCCACAGCACCTTTGCATCCAGTAACCCCACTTCAGTCACAGGTAAGACACACGCATGAGGTCATGCACCCCACCACAGTTTGTCACTGCGGACTGCTGGAGACCACCTGCGTCCATGGGGGCAGGGCGCAGGATGGAGTGGGGCAGCATGTCCCCACCCCGCCCACCCCTCCCACCACAAGGCAGCATGAAGTAGTTTGTGGGATGTCCTGTGGAGAAGGGAACCAGCATCCACCCTTCACAGAGAGGAGTGGCGAGAAAACATGCAGGTGGCTGAGAAAGGAATCCAGGAAGAGAGAGCAGAAAGCAGAGGCTGGTCACCCATAGGCGCTGTGCATAAAGGAGTGGAGAGGACAGCGCAAGGACAAGGGGACAGGAGTGGGAGTGAGGGAGTGGGAGGCTCCAGGGGTGCAGCTTCCTCTAAATCTAAGACTCCTGGCGTGGAGGAGTTCATTCACAACTCAGGAGGCGGGAGCGGGAAGGGTGTAGGACTGAGCGGGGTGGGGGCAGGGCAGAACAGCAGCACCTCTGGGGGTTACAGAGGCTTCAGGATGTGAGCCTAAGTGACTGCATCGCTGGCCAGTGAGGACCGCTCGCCTTCAAGCCTCCGGTGTGGCCGATTCCCCTGGAGAGCAGCCTCTGGGACCCGAGGCATCCAGGAGCCATCCCTTGCCACTTTGGAGGTTCCACGGGTATTAGGAGCTCTGTGTTCATGAGGAGGGATGGAGCCCTCATGAACACAGAGCTCCTAATACCACATCATAGTCCCTGCCTGAGGGGAAGGGGAGAGACAAGCAGCAGGGTAACAGGGCTGCGGTGTAGCTCTGCGGTAGAGATCTTGCCTCGCATGCACAAGGCCTTGGTTCCACCCCAGCACCGCAAGACAAACCAGCAAATCATACAGAAGCAGGCTAATGAAGTTACACAGTGATAGATGCTATATAGGAAGGAAATAAAGTAGGTTGATGTGACGAGAGATGGGGCTCCTTTATAGGTATGTTCAGGAGAAGCCTCCCTGGGGTAGGGAGATGACCACTGAGCACAGATCAGCACAGCAAGCAAGGGGCCAGCAATGTGACACCTGGAGGGAAAATGGATCCTGGGCGGGGAAGCCAAGGTAAAGGCCTAGTGAAGCTGGTGGAGACTGGTCTCAGATGGGAGGAGCCGAACCTGCCTGGCCCTTGGGCTGGAAGGCAGCTTTGGACACTGCTTTGAGTACCTTGGGAAACCAAAGAGGGCTTGAGCCAGAGGTGAGGTGCCTTATGCTACAGTTATTTGCATATTATAGGTACTTGGCACTTTGCTGTCCCTCTTCCTCCTGGGAAGATGCTACAACATAGTATGACATCTCATGGTCAAACACTGACCACTAATTCAAGGGTTTTAAAACACTACTGTGGGCTGGAACAATACCAGCCACATGACTCAGCAAGGGCACTTCTGGGTGTTTGTCCCAGAGAAACCAAAATGTGTGTCCACACAAAACCCACCCAGATTCTCCATAGTAGCTCTGTGCATAAGAGCCAGGATCTGGAAGTGACCCAAGTGCCCTGAGGTGAGTCACACTTAGCAGTGGAACAGCAAGAGCCAGGGGTCAGCTCCAAGGGGTGGATCAGTATGTCTGTGCTCTGACCCAACCCCACATGGGGGTTCTGACCCACAGTGGAAGTCTATTTGGCTCGGGGTCCTGGAACCAGAAGTCCAAGAGTACAGTGCTGGCAACTGGCGAGGGGCTGCGCCATCCCAGGGTGGGGGGCATGGAAGAGAGAGCACAGGGGAGGGAAAGGGGCTGCTCCCCCTTTACCCACCCCACAGCAGCCTGGGCCCCGCACCAGGAGGCTTCACCAACTCGTAATACCATCGCCATGGAATTAATTGTCACATGAGTGTTGGAGGGTACAGTCACACCTTAGCAGGTCTAAGGCACTGTGCTGTGTGGAAGAAGTCTCAGAAATTTATAGGCTTTCTGATTCCACGTGCACAGCCTCAAAATGACAAAAGGGGACTGGTGGAGAACACACAGTGGCTGTGGGCGTGGCTCAGGGCAGCTGGGTGGGCTCTGGAAGTGCAGGCAGGAGGGAGAGCTCTGTGCACTCAACACTCCGCTCTGTGTCTGCAACGTGGTGCGGTGACACGATAGAAGGGGACAAGAGGGCATGAAGCTCTCACATGTCCCTCCTATGCCCATTTCCTGGCTTGGACACTTTGGATGTGGAGAGCAGAGAGCACAGGGAGCCCTTTGCCTTCACAACTTCCTACCCATCTAATTCTACCAAAGAAAGAGAATGAACTGCCCCCACCAGCAAGCCCGGTAGGGTGAGGAACGCTTTAGCCTCTGAGCCAATGGTCTGCAACCTCTGGTTTCAGGGAACCAGGTGTTCTTCTTGACCTTTGCTGAAGTTTCCTCAGTTTCCCTGGGTCAAGGGCCAGTGACCAGGTAGGGGAGGTGAATGTGCCAAGTGAGGAGGTATCAGAAACATCCCATTGGGAAGCATGCTGTATTCGCTTTCTGCTGCTATGCAAACAAATTACCATTAACTACAGTTTCATCCCGATTTCCTGGGTCAGGGGCGTGTCAAGGCCTGACAAGGCTTCCTGCTCTGGCTCTCACTGGGCTGGAACCAGGTACTGGCCATGGCTGCACTCTCTCCTGAGGCTCCTTTCTCTTCCAAGGCACTGGCTGCTGATGGAACGTGCCTCCTCTCAGTGTATGATGAGAACCCTGCTTTTCTCCCTTTGTCCTTCCCTTCCTCCCTATTTTGAGACAGGGTCTTGGTAAGTTGCTGCTGCTGGCCTTGAACTCATGGTCCTCCTATCACAGCCTCCAGAGCTGCAAGGATTACAGGTGTGTACCACTGAGCCTAGTATCTTCCTAGGTATTGACTGGGGACCTCTCAGGTCCTAGAGGTTACCCTCTTGGTTTTGCCAAGGATGCATGATCTCACACTACGGCAGCCCCTTCCTCAGCCCGCTGGGGACTCCTCCATGATTCAACCCCACCATAAAATTACTATCCCACCACATCCACAGCTCCGGCCACACTCAAGGGAGGCTTTCTCTAGGTGTGTGCAACTGGGGTCACCTCAGCATAAGTCATGGACTGACAAACTTAGCCTGTAAAGGAGCAATTGGTAAACTTTCTCAGCTGGGTGACCATATTGGATCTTACTGAAGTCATTCAATGCTGCCATGAATTGGCTGTGTTCCAGTAAAAATTTATGGACATCGAAATAAGAATTCCATGTAATTTTCATGTCATGAAACACTATTCATCCTTTGATGTTTCTCAAACATTTACATTATATAAAAACCATTATTATTGGCTGTGGGCTGGATTTGGCCTGAGAGGGTCCTAAGTGTCCATGGGTTGAATGCAGACAATCTAAAACCTACCCCATATTGAGACCACAGATTACCCACCCTTTTTAACCTACCTGGATTTCTTCAGTGAGAATAATTCACATTCCCCAGTTTGCTGGGAAACAGAATACAGAAGGCAAAAGGGTGTACCTTGGCTCCTTCCATTTCTCCCATCCTGAAAGCTAAAAAGTAAGACCAAGACCAAAGCATTTAAAGATCCTTCTCAGACAGTATAACCCCAAGGTCTAACTCCCGAAGAGTGAGAAAGTCGTCCTGCAGGATGGATTCTGCCAGCAAACCAACTTCTGTGGTTGGGAAGGAGGGTGATGGAGACACACGGCTTCCCTGTCAGGCACACTGTGTGGACCGAGGCAAGACTGGGGTTCTGGTGGACACCACAGCTGACCCTCTGCGGGCTGCACAGGCCTGTCGACTAACCCATCTACAGTTGGCAGCCAGACAAGGACGAGCAGGGAGTCTGTAGGCGAGATTAACAGACTGGACAAGCAAGAGAGTGGGTCATAAGAACATGCTAAGACATCCATATTTTAAGTATTATCAAGACCATATCAACTAATTTGGGAATCCTTGGTTGACTCATCTGTATCCCATGACATAAAAAATACAATTTTTTTTTTGTTGTTGTTACTAGGGATTAAACCTAGGAATGCTTTGCCACTGAGCTATGCCCCCAGTCCTTTTTGTTTTTTTGAGCCAGGGAATTGCTAAATTGCTGAGGCTAGCCTCAAACTTGTGATCCTCCTTCCTTGGTTCCCCAACTAGCTGGGATGACAGACATGTGCAACCATACCTGGCTTCTTCTACATTTTAAAAATCCAACTATAGACATATGTAATTGTTAGTTTGATAGGAAAAAAAAGACAATAACTGTAATCTATGAGATGGAATAAACAAGAGGACTTCTGGTGGTAAGAGATGCAAATGATTTTAAAAGGCCTCCCTCTTGACTGAATTGTTTTTCTCATTTTAAACCCACAGACTTGTCGTCTGCAATGTTATAAATCATTAAGGATCGGTTCTCTATGTTGCAGTACAGAGACAAGAACTTTTTCGACAATGACATTAGCATCTTCCTCCAGATTCCTGAGGCTTTGTCATCCCACTGTGCGCGCTTCCTAGAAAGCTCTCAGCCCTCCCACCACCTGCGGTCCAGAGGAAGTGGAAAGGCCAAAACAACTGCTGCCATGGCTACATGGGCCTCACCTCATTTTTTCTTTTAGTTAAAAAAGAAAAGAAAAAGAGCTGGGCACAGTGGCACACGCCTGTAATCCCAGCTGCTCAGGAGGCTGAGGCAGGAGGATGGCGAGTTCAAAGCCAGCCTCAGTAAAAAGTGAGGCACTACGCAAATCAGTGAGACCCTATCTCTAAATAAAATACAAAATACAGCTGGAGATATGGCTCAGTGGCCGAGTGCCCCCAAATTCAATTCTCATACCAAAAAAAAAAAAGAGGAAAATAAAGATCTCACATGCAGGAATTCTTTCTCCAGAATAGTTTAATCGGTTTGGATACTGTCAACACTTGATTATTTTCCCTCTATTTTGGACACACAAATCCATTCATTCAGACTCTTCTTCTCCCCATATCTCATATATTGTGATATTATTGTGTGGATCTGCAGGCATCTCTGAGTTTTGCAGCTTGATGTTACCACCAGTTGCCATGGTGACTTTGAGATTCCGCACCTTGGACACAAACTTCACAAGGTCCATCTCAAGTTGGGTTAAGGTATGGAATGCATAGTCTTTGCTGGGGGAAGTATTTTGATGTTTCTTTAGTGGAGAGCGAAACTGGCGGCCTCGGAGGCCAGTAGAAGTCTGCTTCTGTCAAGAAAGATATCTGGGGTGAATAATTCCATTGATTTTCTCGGCTTTGACAGTTGGGCTCATCTAAGAGAACAGGTCCCTTGTACTGCTCTAGTCTAGGCTATGGCAAATTGGCCACCTCTGGCCCACAACCTGTTTTTATAAAGTTTTATTGAAACACAGCTGTGCTCATTCTTTTGCATATTATTCATGACTAAATTGAGTAGTTACACAGAGACTATAAGACCCCCAAAACTGAAATGCTTTACCTCCTGGCCCCTCTCTCCTGGCTCCAGCTTTAGACAGTCTGGATAGAGTATCATGAAGTGCTGGGAGTGTCCAGGAGAGAACACGCCATATTTCTCTGCCACTCTCCTTCAACTGGAGAGCTGTTGGGGACCAGAGCTTACTACTTGACACATTTATAACTTTAGAACAGGCTTCTATTTAATTTACTTGGGATAATAACATTTCCACCAAGTCCCAAAATTTGTAATAAATCGAACATGGCAAAATTGTAAAAATCAGGAGAAAGTTAAGTCTGGCTTTGTGAATAATTTTTTTACCTGAAAAATACTGTAATTTCCTGAATCTATCCTTAATTTGAAAAAATTCACAGGAAAAATCATGAGCCATTAAACAGGTTATCAACTGTTCTGTCCCAATCTCTGTGGCTCTGGGGACCACTGTCTTCACTAAGAATGTCAGGAAGCAAATTTGCCAAATTTCCCAGGATCCAAGGTAGTTCCTCCCCATTCAAGTTCTAGATAGCTCAGCCGTCCTGACCCTACGGACTACAAGACCTGATTCTGTCCGCTGTTTCTGAGACGGAATCCGTGGAGCTGTTCTTACCTTATCCTTCTCACTATCTCCTCGAAACTTCAGTATTACATACAGCAAAACAACAAAAATAAGCCAGAGCCATTTGCTCCCAAGCCAGCCTTGGGTGTGCTCTGGTAGATTCTGTCTAATTCGGAAGTGCCCTCCGCAAGGCACCTTCCCCTGGGGTTCTTTGGCTTTGTCTCTCAGAGAAGAGAACATAAAGGCGTAGCCGCAGGAGAGGCACAGAGGCAAGAACAGGAACCATTTCAGCGTCCGCATGGTGAGCAGAGGTGATGGAAAAAGCTGCTCATGGTGGGTCTGCCTGCCCTGGCAACTGGGAGACTGGGGACCTAGTGCTGGCCGCTGGTGATGTCACAGAGGGCCTGAGCCAGGGCAGCCTTGGCCATTGTGATGCCTTGAGGCTGGGGAAAAGGAGGCTCACAGTGGTAGCTGGAGAAGGACTTCAAGAAACTGGGGGGAGGGGAGGATTTCCAGTGAGAGGGTATGATGGGAAGTCACCTCCTTGCCAGAACATTCTTTCTGACTCTGGTGTTCAATGGGAGGGGCCATCATCATCTTGCTTTCATTTATTTGATTCTGACACTGTGGTGAACAGAGACACTGTGTTCCCATGGAGCCTGGAGTCCAGCGGGAAAGATGTTTGTCCACAGGCCGCACAAGGGGCCCCCGATGCATTTCATCTGTGGCCATTGTTCCAGAAATAAAGATTGGCCAGCATTTAAGTGGTAGAAGCAGCTTCACTTAAAAACCCCAAGTTTCGGGCTTCCTTTGAATATGGATGCTCTGGCCTCACAGGGCCTTGTTCTCATGGGCCCGCTCTGCTCTGGCAGGGCAGGAACTGACCCTGCTGGTGTTCTCCCCTCAGTCCTCACCAGTCCCTGTTGCTTCATACGACTGACTGACCTGCCCAGGGGGAATTCAGAGTATGACTTGGTAAAATTTTGACAAGAACAGAGAACTGTTAAGAGAACAGAAGGGGGAACTTAATGCAATTACTCAGGAAGACTTTCTCGAAGATGTGGGTAGAGCTCAAGAGACGCTGCTGAGGAGCCGGCTGGGTACATGGGGAAGGGCTGACATTTGGCCTGTGTGAAGGCCCCAGGGTAAGGACACAGCCTGGAATAAACCAAACCTCCCTGACCAGTGTTTGAAACCACAAGTTTTAAAAAATGAATGAACAAGAAGGCTGGTCACGGGGGCACAGGCTTGTACTTGTTCCCCTGGTCACCTATGTCACAATCATGCTAAGGAAGGACCTAGTTCACAGGCTGACTCCCAAACAGTGACTTCCTACTGAATACCAAGTCATTGGAGGTCCACTGGGCACCCTCCTGTGCTGCTGACTGCGTTGCACACTGGGGAGAACACAGAGGTCCCAAAGCCTCACCTGTAAAACCCAAGGGGAAAACAGCAGTGTCACATGCTGCACCGATTCTCCACATGCACCGCTGTCAGCTGAAGTGATGGGGTCTCCTGCAGAGACTGTGTGTGCATGAGGTGGAGAGGTGCAGGTCCCAGGGTTGCAGGAAAACAGGCCTCATGCTGCAGGCAATGTCCAATCTGACCGCTGTGGCTTGTGAATGTCCATCTGAGAAGAAGCTGGCCCCAATGCTCCTAGCCTTGGGCCATGGAGTGTGCTGTGACCTGTCTGAAGGCTCAGCCTTGGCATGACACCATCCTACCCCATTGACCCCCGTCAGTGTCCTAAGGCTCCTGTGGGGAACAGCTGCAGCTGCTGAAGACAGCTGCTGAGTACTCCGGGGGTGCTGTGTCTGCACAGGGCCTGAACCGTGCCAAGCATGCCAACAAACACTGAGGCCTTGGTAGTGGTCAAGTGAGGCTGCCTGTGGGGCCAGTGGATTTCACTTACACCAACGACCCCTCACAACAGAGCTGCTCTGTTCCTGATTTTCATTACTTGCAAATCTTCATGGGAATTTGATGATAGGAATCCCCTAAACTCTTTCTTTGTGTTCACAAGCTTGGTGCTTTTCCATAGCACAGGACCAAGAAAAAGCACGAAACTCTGGGAAGGTCCCTCCAGGTCAAGAGGTGATGACAGGTTCGTGAGGCTGAGTGAGATTCGACTTTACATCTGGGAAGTAAAGGCTGCCCTGAAGAACCCCTCGCCCCCCAGCCCCTCACCACTGCATTGGCAAGGTGGCTTGGGCCCCAGCGGGTGGAGGAGCAGCCTCTGGTCCAGAAGCCAAAACCTGACGAGTCCTTGTCTGGGAAAGCTTCCAGCCTCTGCTGATTGTTCCTGTGGCAAGGACTCATCAGAGGCAGCGTGGTGAGTGACTTGGTCAGGAGGAACCATGTGCACTGAGCACTGCTGTCCAGGTGTGGTACCCACAGAGTGGGTGATGGTCACTGTGTCCCCTTCCAGGAGCTGAGACATCCACCCAGTGCTCCGCTGTTCAGGTGAGCCCCAGATCAACACCAGCTACTGGACTTCACCTTAGTTACTGCCTTGCTCACCTACCTTGGTACAAGCTGGTGTCACACTGGACACTATGGAAGTGGCACAGAATGCAGACAGCCTGCCCCCCCTCACTCCCCTCACAAGAGGTGCAAAGGGAGCTGCCCTTGCTCTACACAGGCACACACTCTCAGGCCTCAGGGTAGTGACGCCTTTGCTAAACACCCAGGGCTGGAAAGGAATCCCCAAAATCCCTCCACACACACACACACCTATGGACACCTCCTGGGCAAGTGGGGAAGGCAGGCCACGTAGCCCCCACACTGGCTGGAAGGCCACAGGCTGGAAGCTTTGAGATGCTCAAGGTTTGAGTAGAGGACACTGGGACTAGGTCACTGGGACTGGGAAAAACTGGACATAGTCAAAAGCTGGACACGATGCCAAATACAACGGATAGGTTAAGGCAAACTTAGGAAAATTAAAAAGGCCATCAAAATAAAAAATACCTCATGATGGCAAAAGCTGTTAATGAGTAGAATTTGACTAAAAGGACGATCAAGTTTTCTTTATAAGTTAAAATAAGAAGAATAAATTGTGATAAAAAATAATTTAACCAAATATAATTTTTTTTTCTTTTGGTACCAGGGATTGAATTCAGGGGCACTTGACCACTAAGCCGCATCCCCAGCCCTATTTTATATTTTATTTAGAGACAGGATCTCATTGAGGTGCTTAGCACTTTACTGTTACTGAGACTGGCTATGAACTTGCGATCCTGTCTCAGCCTCCAGAGCTGCTGGGATTGTAGGTGTGCGCCAACACACTTGGCTAAAAGTAACTAATTTTTATGAGAATAATTAAACAAAACAAAACCCTGAAAGATGGTTTAACTGGGGTGTATATAATACTGATCAAGGAAATAAAATGGCCAATTCATGTTTATTCCAGAAAAGTTCACAATAAAAATTCCCTTTCCCTTTAATTGCTGGAAAATGATGTAATCCTGATTAACATGCTTCTCTGGTAACAGTGTAAATATGCTCCTTGGGGCCAAGTCCTCCCATCACTGTGGGGCAGATAAGGGCACAGCTCGGGGCGGAGGCTCTGGGCCCCATTCCCAGCGCTGCAGATACAGTAGAACAAAGAGAACCTTGGGGCCTTCCTGGTGTCGAGGACCCACAGACGGCACTGAGCTCAGGAACTTGGACTCTGCACTGACAGCCTCGTGGGAGTGGAGATATGCTGATGTGTGATATCGACACAGCACAGAAGGGTGGGATACACCTTCTCACCTTCTGCTGAGGGCGAGGACAGTGGAATTCCTGGGACCCCAATGCCTCACAAAAACACTAGGAGAAGGGAGAGCAGCAAGAAAGCACAGACCAGGGAAAGCAAAGGCAGGCGTGCTTTATTCTGCACCAAAGCTTTCAGAACTCAACTAATCTCTGCTAGGTCCAAAATGATGAGAGAAGACTCTCCTAATGCCAGACAGCAGGGCCCCGGCTTCTTCCAGGGCTGGAGTGAGGAATGGTTTCCTTCAAAGGCTCCTGCTGCCAGACTGTGTTTGAATTCACCTAAGGTGATTTCACTTGCTTACTTAATTGACTGTCAGCAGCAAAACAATAAAATTTTAGTCAAAATAAGTAGCCACGCACAAGAGCCTTCCATTATTGCAAGCTTACAAAGTACAACCCACAACGGCCTGGCCGTGGAAAGGGCCACACCCGCTGCAGGCAGAGGCAGGTGTGAATGCGGGCTGGGGAGAGGCTGCCAGACACTCTGCAAGCCCCTGGCCCTCCCTAGGACCCTCACAGCAAGAGTGACCACAGTCTTGAAGGTTGGTGAGGACAACTTTATGACACCATCTAAACCGAATACACTAGAGACAACACAGTCCCCAGGACCACACAGAGGAGCCTAGGCTGGGGAAGAAGCCTGAGCTGGGCTTCAGAAGCAGTAGGACGTGTGGGTGACCCAGTGTGCCGACTCCTCCTTGGAGCGTTTGGCAGAGCTGTGAGTTGTGAAAAGGGACTTGTAGGTTTCGGATTCTTCGCTGTCGGCGATGGATCTCTTCACAGCCCCACAGGGAGGCTTCCCGGCTTTCCCATTAGTTGCTGGAAAAACGAAAAGCCAAAACCTTTCATACTGGGACTACAGGTCACTCCAACATGGCATTCCCACAAGGGCACAAGTCAGCTGCTTCTCCCTGGACACTTTCCTGCTGCTTTCTGGGAGGAATGCTGAAATATATACCCTTTATGTTTTGTGGTGATGGGGATCAAACCCAGGGCCTCAAGTGTTGGGGCAAGCACTCTACACGGAAACACATCCCCGCTGCCACCTCCTAAAAACCACAGCTCCCAGCACATAAGATCCTGGTAACAGCACCCTGCTGTGCCTCATGCTCTGCTCCCGCCCATGAATAGCAAGGATGGACTGGTCTTCAGAAGGTGAATGCTTCATGGCGGGGAGGACACAGAAGTACTGGATGGAAACCGGAGTGGTCTGTCCCAGGCCAGGCTACTACCTCACATCAAAGCCAGGATGGGAAATGCTGACCACTGTGCACTTACACAACACAATTAAATTAGGCCTCCTTCTATCTGATCAGTCTGTGCTTTCCTTCTAGTAAAATAAATGCTATTCTCTGGAGTTGAAGACAGGAGCTCCAAGAGAAGCTGACTCTGGCCAACAAGCAGGTGGAGAGAAAAGACTCTTGAGTGCTGTGTGGATCCCATAAAGATGCCCACTACAGAGAGCAGACACCTCCCGTCAGTGCCCATGCTTTTGCACATGACAGTCTCCACGGTAGGTCTGAGTCCAGTTCTGGGCAGCACCATGTGCTCACTGAGCAGGAAAGCACAATTTCCTTTTCCGGGCCCTTTAATCTCGACAGGGCTCCCGGTGAGAGGTATGCTGACAATTCACAGTTTCCCTCAGAAGCTCAATGAACTACTGACAGACACAACTTGGGAAATGCTTCAGTTTTCTCCTGTGCCCAGTCCAATGAAGTGAACATGCCCTTGGAGTCCCTAGCTCTCCATGAGCTCAGGCTCATCTCAGCAGGACTCACCTGTACTTCTGGGTGCTGAGACGGCTTTCTTCTCTCTAGTATCAGGACCCAGTTCCTCAGGCTTGCCTGTCTTCACCCTTGATGGCCCTGGGCATTCTGTAAAATTTAAAAAACAGAAGAAGTAAGACCAAAGCAAACCAAAGCACGAACTTATTTGGGACATGGCCCTGCGGTTTTATTTTGCTAAAATATCCCCTCTTCTAGCATCTTACCTTCACTGACTTCTGGTTTGGAAACAGACTCTGCCGCCTTGGGCTTCTTTGTTTTCTGTAAGAAGAAAGAAGTTGCTGGAGGACCTTCCCAGGTTCAGTGCACTGCTGCAGTAGTGTGGGGCTCACCGTCACGGGCTGGTGCACAGTATAAGGCAGGTCCTCACTCCCGAGACCGACCACATAAACTCTAACCCTTAGGTCTCCACAGGCATCTGCAGTGGTGCACTGGAGCTTCACAGACACGTCTACCTGCACAGCCCTTGTTCAGTTTCATATTTACATTCCAAAAATTACATTCTCAAAAATTTTAAACGAAGATGACGGATTTCAGTTATAAGAGGCAATGTTAACAGTGACTACTGTATACAAAAGAGCAGTTAAGCTAGTAACACAAACTACAGGCAGCTCTGTGAGGTCTAGCCAGCAAAGCGGGTGCTAAATTCCTCACATTCCCTCATTTCCAAAGTTGTCAAGCTGCTATGGTATTTTTTCATCTGGCTTTAAGACCTAGAGGCTTATGCTAAACATTTTAGCAAATTATCCTAAACTCTGGATTACTGTTGTTAATTTTAGGCACTAGAAGTTTGTTACTCACTATAGTTACTTTGGTCATTAACAACAAAAAGAAATGAACAAATCACTCTAAAATTACACAGCTGTGTTCACTGTGATGCAACTGCAGAAATGATAAACACGACTATGTCCAATTTACTTTAAAATGTTATTTTCCCAAGTATCCAAAAGGTGGCGCTAAAGACACACCCAGCCTATTTATTTCAGAAGGCCTCTCTATCTAGCAAACACTGAAGAAAGACTTCTCAATGGCCCTGAACCTGTAACATACATGCAATATGACTTAGAAGATTGAACAGAACACAAACCCCTGCTCACTTCACACATGCAATGCATGTATGCCTATCTGTGAAGGCTGACAGTCCTTCAAAAACCAGAGACAACTGTACAGCTGAGTTATTTGAAAAGCAATAAGGAGGTATAGAATAAATATTGTGTCCTGTTTCCAGGTGCAAGTTTATTTGGGAAATATTTTGTATCCTGGTAGCAGTATCTAAGGATTCACAGGAGCTCCAGTGAGTATTTTGCAGAGAGGGGCATGTCAATTCCACCGGGCTTTGAGCAACTTGGCAGGAAGCCTGTGACAGAAACTCAAGTAAAACAATCAAAGACGATATGAAAATCTCTAGTAGCTTCCTTTAAAATAAAAATTTCCCTTAAAAAAAAAACTGATCAAAGGCAGCAATGAAGAACAGGCAGATCCCTTTTGATAAGTGTTCTTTGTTGAACATGCCTCAGACTTTTCTTTCTTTTTGCTCTTATGATAATAAATCAGAGTAATTTAGACCACTAACTTAGAATTCTCTCTCTCTCTCTTTCTCTCTCTCTCTCTCTCTCTCTCTCTCTCTCACACACACACACACACACACACACACTTGATTTTTAACCTTAACGCAGCACTTAAATGACTAAGCACTCTCTCAGTATTTCTCTGGAGTGCTACATTAATATTAAAACAGCTCCAGACTGTTCTATTAGCATTTGATTATAAAGTTTGAGCACAATTCTTTGTCCTATAGAATCACTTAGCTGGTCCCTAAGAGTGATAAAATGATCAAAGAAGGAAGTGCCAGTGGATCTGGATCTTTATAAATTCCAGGTCCATGTTAAGAATAATAATGTGCCCAACTTTACCAGCTTTTTTGAGCTTAACAACCCTGAATTATGTCATTCCAGGATGAGAGGCTCCTGTCTTGTCTTCTGAGACCAAACAAACACAAAAAGCAAAAAATGAGTCTCTGAAAATTCTTTCCTAATCCCATTACTCTCACCTACTGATCGATGCAGGTGCACTTAAAGTTGGTTCTTGTCCCCATATGTCTTCAGGATACGGACACTGATTTTCTAATACTTCCAGCATCTTCTGCCTTAGTTCTCATCACATAAAGTTTGCTCCTATGTTTACCCTGAGCCTAACTTTTCCATAAAGAACAAAAAACTTACCACTTACAAAAGCCCTGCAATACACAACTGACATCTGTAAATAACAAATCATAAAGTGTACAGCTGGACTCAGTCGAGGGCACACACACTGGATGATCTCTTGACTGACAAACTGCTGAGCTTGCTCATTATGGTCTATCATTAAGAAATACTCCTACTGCTTCTGGAATGTGGTTCCGAACCTGAGACTACGAAGCAAGGCCCCACCACTGCACATCCACCAGGACTGTCATCACCAGTGCTGTGTCCATAGGCTCTCTATGGAGAGTAGAAGCCCCACTCACCACAATTCCCCCAGGGAGGGCTCAGGAAGGTGTGGGAGATGGCTCAAGCTTCAGGAAGACTACTTAGCTCCTTGCTACTCCTTGGTCCTGGAGGACTACATCCAGTGGCCTGGGTGGGGGAGACATAACAGGCTCCCAGGGTCTCCCCCCCCCCCAAGCCTGTTGAAACTTGGCCTGCAGGGAACTCCTATTCCCATTCAAATCTGGGAGGCAGGGGACCTTCAGATTTTCTGGGTTGACGATGACATTCCTTTGTTTTTCAAGTTATAAGATTTTTAAATCAATTGACTGTGACAGCAACTGCAGTTACTGCCCTTCTCCAAGGGCTCAGGAGGGCTATGCTTTCTTGTAAGCATTTATAGACATGATCGTCTGACCCTTCTAATCCTCCTGACAACCCCATGTCAGGTGCAGGTTTTGTCACCACCCCTACTTCACTGATGATTGAAGCTGAGCATGGACAAACAGAAGCACTGTGGTTGGGCCGCAACTGGACAGCTTCTAGAGCCCTAGAGCCCAAGCCCTCCAGGACTATAAGAATCCCCTCTCTCACCACACACCCCTAGCAGCTGTGGAAAGGCAGCCAGAAGTTTGCAATGGACTCTGGCATGGAGAAGAAGGCAGGGCAGACCCTGAAGGACCAAATTCTACCCCGAGACTCTCACAAAGGGAGGAAGGAAGCCAAGCCTGTTTCACTACCTTCTCCATCTTCGCTCGCAGTCTTCTCTCCTCCATCCTTTTCTTCAGCATTTCCACATCCTCCTTGGTGCCATTGAGCACAATGACATCATCCTCCTGGAAGGCGGCCCCGCACTGGGGAGGGAGAGAGAGAAGACAGAGTTGGTCACAGAAGGGAAGCCACTCTCAGCCCCAAGCGTCAGCTTCCAGCCTTTGCAAGGCTCCTATCATGACTCTGCCTGCATCTCAGCTTCACCAGATTTCGGGTCAAAGCCCTGGTCTAGGAGATCTGGTGCCCAAAAGAGTTCTGACTTAGTAGCCTGAGAGGGGTGCCCCAAAAAGGCCTACCCACAAGGCCTCTGAGATCTGGATTCTGGGAGGGCTACTGCCAATTCTTAACTGGTAAGGTGGCACATGGTGCCAGCCTTTCTATAAAATGTGGTTTACACTGAACATCTGCTTTCCTTCTGGGAGTCTAGAAGTTTGGTACATGCTAGGCAGAGGGTACGTAATCAGGCCACAGCAAAACCCCTGGGTTACTGGGCTCTCTAACAGGCTTCCCAGGGAGATATGTCACCTGAATGCTGCTGCATGGCACTGCTGGGGCAGTTGGCTCTGTGAGACCCTTCCAGGCAGGGAGAGAGCACAAGGAAGCTTCACATGAACTCTTCCAGACTCCACTACCTGTCTCGTCCCTTAACATCCCACCATGTATCCTTACTGCATTACTGCACTAGGTCTTAGCTGAGTGACCACTATATGCTAACTCCTGTCAGTCATTCTAGAAAATTCCAAGTATAGGGATGCTCTTGGGGACCTCAGATATACACTGGCAGAACAGAACTGTGAGCAGAATCTAGACCACCTGACAGTGCCCTGTTGTGTCCACCCTCAGTTCTGTTGGTGAGTGAGCCACCTCCCAGGTCATGTGTGAGCATTCTGTGAGCACTGCTGCCTCCCCTGCCTCTGCACCTGCAAGGTCCCGTTACTCTGCCTCCGTCTGTTCCACGCACTAATCAGATCTGAAGCCCTGGTCTGTCCACACTGTCTACACTGCTGTTCTCACTTCAGTGGCCCAGCATTGAACCTGCAGCCCGACACAGTTGGGACCTTGTACACCTGGGCTGGGGCAGGAAAAAGAAGAAATCACGAGAACAAAAGGGGAGACTCTGCCACCCACATTTGGAATTGAGGTTTCTGACTGATCTGCCCAGATAAGGTTACTCTTCCACCTCCCTCGGCCTCAGTTTCTCAGCTGTAAAGAGGAATGGTTTGGCCCAAAGGCAGTGCTCCCCAACTGGAGGAAGTTCTGCTCCTCAGGGATGCTCAGTACTGTCTGGAGATATTTCTGGAGGTCACATGTGGGGTGCAGGTGCTTTTGGCATCTTTCGGGTAAAGGGCTGGGACACTGGTAAACATCCTACTATACAAAGGACAGTCCTCACCACTGAGGCACCTAGTCCAAAATGCCACTCATGCTGAAGCTGAGAAACTCTGGGCTAGGGTCTAAATACCTAAATGCAACAGACATTTTTAAAAGAATAGGAATTTATAGGAGAACTTGTTCATCACTAGGGTAAGAAATGTCACCTACAGCAAGAAAAAGGCAGAAGCTATAAAGGTTAACAACTTTTATTATATAAAAATGTCAATCTGGGGCTGGGGTTGTAGCTCAGTGGTAGAGACACTTGCCTAGCATTTGTTGAGGCCCTGGATTTGATCCTCAACACCACATAAAGAAAAGTAAATAAGATAAAGGTACTATATCCATCTATAACTACAAGAAATATTTTTTTATAAAATTACAACTTAAATGACAAAGTCACAATACACGAAATAAAATATAAGCCAAAAGCTAAGAGAAAATACTTGCAGCAGATACGACATTCAAAGGATAAATTTACAGAACACAATCATGTTTACATAAGAACCCTTTATAAAATCCTCCTGGACAGCATCCTCTAAAAAAAGGCAACTTCACAGAAAGGCTCTGAACAGCCAAGCCATGGCCGCTGAGCACATTTTCTTGTGACCCTGCCACTCTCAACTCTGAAAACACAAACTAGAGGTTGGTGGCAGTGTCCCGCTGGGATGTTCACAGTTTCCTGTGTCCGTATCTGCACAAGCACACTCTGGAAACGATCTAGCATGTCACCAGATGAGCCGATAAGAAACTGGCATCTGAACAAGACAGAACACTTTTTAACCCTCAAAGAGACCTGCCATCTGACAGCACGGGCAACCCTGGAGGGCAGTGTGCCAAGAGAAACAAGCCAGACAAACAGAGGACCACTGCATGACCTCACTGACATGAGGGACCTAAAAGCTGAGGACACAGGAACATGGTAGAACAATGGTTACCAGGTATAGTGGCGGGTAGGGGTATGCTGGTAAAAGGACAAACGGGCAGTGATATAGGATGGCAGGTCTAGAGAGCTAGTGTAGCCTGAGGACCAGTTGTCAATGTCATGCTGTACACTGGAAGCTGCTCAGATGCCACAACTCTTATCCTCTCCACACAGATAATTAAGTAAGAAGCTGGAAATGTTCACTTGCTTGACCACTGTAATCATCTCACCATGGACATGTAGTCATCATCTCACACATACATCGAAACATCTTTTTGTACACTTTACATATGTATAATAAAAAAAATAAGCCTCATTTTGAAAGCACAGCTTTCTCATTATTAACTGAAGCAGTGACACCCTAGGCTGAGTCTCGCTATCCCCTGATGCTTGAGAAATGACTGGTACAGTGAGGGTTCCAGTCACTCATTACATTACAAAACTATTTGCTTTTACTGCAATGGGAAGTGTACCGTAAAAAAAGTTTATAGTTTTATTTTACTTATTTCGCCCTGTAAGAGAGCTGGACACCATGCTAAATAAGACATGGTCTCAACCCTCAATGGAAGCAGGGTTGGATCTCCTAAAAATACTGAGTGAAAGAGAAGTGAGCTCTCTCTTCCCACCCACCCTATCTAGAAACATGAACCGTTCTTCCCTATCTTACTCTGTAGCTTTCCAACTTGTAGAACATTCTGGGTCTTCAATGTTTTTCCATCTCTGTGATTTTTTTTTACAGGGTAGGGGGGCAAAAATCATGTTTCACTTCTTAATTCCAGGTATTGTGACTAGGACACAGAATGCTGAGTAAGCTCTGGAGAAGAAGGCTTGGCCAGCATTTACATTTCCTATCAAACATGCCTTTCTAAAAAAGATAAAAATATAATTTAACAAAGTTCACATAAAGTGCACAGGTCAATAGCATCTGGAGTTATTTACAGTTGTGCAACCATCACATAATCTAATTTTAGAATACTTTAACACATCCATCAGCACACATGGTCTCCGCCCTACTTCAGTCATAGGCAGCCATTAATCCACTTTGTCTCTACGGATTTGTTTCTCCTGGACATTTCATATGAATGGATCACACAGTATATGAGTCTTTGTTCTGTGTGTGAACGGCTGCATTCATCAAGTACGATGTTTTCCAGGGTCTTCTATGTCGTAGCAAGTATCAGAACTACATTTCTTTATATTCCACCCACTAAATTTAACAGCTAGCAGACATCCGAGTTGCTCCCACTTTGGCTCTTATGAATAATACTACTGAGAACATTCACGTGCAAGTCTACATGTAAACATACATTTTCACTTCTGTTGGGAAACCCCTGGGAGTAGAATCACTGGGTCATATGTGGACTTCTTGCTCAATCCTGGAGGAAGTGTCTCTCCTCCAAAGACAAACTGCCAAAGCTCCTGATCACTTTACATGCTCCTGAGCAATGCACAGGGATTCCTTTTCCCCACATCCTTCCCAACATTGCTTACTGTCAATTATAACATCCTAAATGGTGTGAATGCATTTTTTGTTTGGTTTGGTTTTGGGGTACTGGGGATTAACCACTGAGCCACATCCCCAGCCTTTTTTATTTTGGGACAAGGTCTCATCAAATTGGATAGGGCCTCACTAAATCACTGAGGCTGGCTTTGAACTTGTGGTCCTCCTGCCTCAGCCTTCTGAGCTGCTGGGATTAAAGGTGTGCACCACCATACCTGGCCTCGCTCATTGTTTTTTAATCTGCATTTCACCTAAAACCAGTGATGCTGTGCATCTTTTCATAAGCTTATTGGCCAGTTATATCTTCTTCAGAGAAATGTCTTATTTAAATCTTTTGCCAATTTCTTAATTGTGTCATTTGTTTCTTTAATGTTGAGTTGTTCTCTATATATTCTGGATGAGTTCTGTCTTAGTCCATTTGGACTAGTGTAACAAAATCATTTACACTGGGTAATTCATAAACACAGAAATTTCTTGCTCACAGTTCTAGAGGCTGGAAAGTCCAAGATCAGGCAAAAGCAGATTCGGCATCTATAGGTGAGGGCCCATTCCTCATGAATGGAGCCTCACATGCCTACAGGGGAAGCAGCTCTGTCAGGCCTCTTTTATAAGGGTCTTAACCCATGTAGGAGGGCTTCATCACCTCCCAAAATCTGACCTCTTAGTAGTACTCTTGCACTGGAGATTAGACTTCAGCATATGAACTGGGTGTATGGGGGGGGGGGTACAAGTGTTCAGGCCACAGCAGGTCCCTGATCAGATACAACATTTACAAATGCTCTTTCCCTTCCTGTGGGCTGATCTTTCACTTTCTGGTTGATGTTCTTTGAAGCACAAAAGTTTTAGATGTGGAATAGCCGAGGTTACCAATTTTCACTTTTACCACTATGCTTTTGGTCTTGTACTTAATAAATCATTGCCCAACCCAAGATCATGAAAATCTGCTCTTGCGTTTTCCCTAAGAGGTCAATCATTTAGCTCAGATGTTTAGATCTGTGATCCTCTTTGATTCCATCTTAATGCCTGACATAAGGGGGAGTCACATGTGGGCATCCAGTTACTCTTGCACCATTTACTGAAAAGATTACTCTTCCTTCCCTTGAGTTGTCTTGGCCCCTTAGTAGAAAATCAATTAACCATAAATGTGAAAGTTAATTTCTGGGCCAGTTTTACCCCACTGATTTATCCATTGAATGGATAAGCCAACAAAATTTTTCCTGGTATTTCTAAAGAGCCATTTGATAATATTATAATCATAGATATTAAAAACATACCAAGTAAAGTCT